TTTGGTGTCACCACTGCTAGGTCTTGTGTGATTCTAATTGTGGTACCGGCATAGGTAAGTTGTTTTTTTCTTGTTGCTTGTAATATTTTGTCCTTGAGCTGGAGGTTTCAGAATTTGACTCCAATATTCCTATGAGTTTTCCTCGTAGGATCTCTTTAAGGTGGTGATCAGTGGATTTTTATCTTCTATTTCTACTTTCCCCTCTTATTCTAATGCTTCAGGGCAATTTTTAAAAATTATTTCTTGTATTACTGTATCAAAATTCTTTTTTTTTTATCATGGCTTTCAGCCAGTTATTCTTATGTTTTCTCTTCTTGATCTGTTCTCTAGATCCATTGTTTTTCTTATGAGATGTTTCACATTCTCTTCTATTTTTTTTCATTCTTTATATTTTGTTTTTTTATTTCTTCATGTCTTGTAACTTCACAGGCTTCCCCTCACCCACTTCTGATTTCCAAGGAGTCATTTTCACCTTTAAGATTCTGGATTTCCTTTTGTAATTGGTTGACTTTCTTTTCATAATCTTGTTTTTCTACCTGCTTCCTTGCCCTCCTATTACTTAACTTACCCGGCCTCCAGCAATCCCTCCCTTATCCTCCCATTCCCTTAAATCTAAACACCTTTCTATATCCACCTTTGGATCTATTCCTTCACCCTCCCCTCTAAAGATCCTTCCTTTATCCTTTCCCCCTTCCCTTTCTAATAATAATTTAGGTTTTATAATCACTTCTAGTCCTGGGGTATGGTGGATAGTGCCTCTGGCCTCTGATCCTCTTCAGTTCTCCTTTCTGACCTTGAACTCAAACCAAGACCTCCAGCCTCCTGTAAGTGCCCATAGCCACCCCACTGCTTCTGCACACACAGGCCAGTGCTGATTCCTTTTCAGCCCAGCCGGCAGTACAGGTGGGTCTGATGTTCCTTCTCAGCAGAGTTTACCTAGATCATCCCCAGGTCAGATGCCCAATTCTCCTCGCTGGGGCTGAGGCAGCCTCCAAAACCAGCTAGCCCCAGGGCTTGCCTGTTCTTCCCCTACTCTTATTTGTTTTTGTGGCTCTATGTTTGCCCAGAGGTGCTATTTTATCTCTTTTGTGGAGCAAAATCTTGAGAGCTTGAAATTCTTTGACCTACTCTGCTGTCTTCCCAGATCCTCTCCTAAAAAACTTTTATGGTCTTAGTTGAGGTCTAGCAGTATAAGGTCCCTTTTATTCCTATTTTAAAAAATCCTTTGAGATTCTTGACCTTTTGTTCCTTCAGATGAATTGTGTTGTTTCAACTAGCCCTATAAAGAAATCTCTTGGTAGTTTGGTATAACATTAAATTTGTAAAGTAATTTGAGGTAGTAATATAGTTTTATTGGCATGTCCAACCGTGAAAAATTCATGTCTCTTCAGTTGTTTAAATCTTCCTCTTCTGTAAAGAGTGGTTTTAATTGTGCTCACATAAATCCTGTGATCTCATTGATTTAGAAATTCCCTGCATTGTTACAGATCACAGTTCTTCTCTGCCTGCTCATTCTTTTCCATGGCCTCTCATAATTTCTTAGAGGCTTTCCTCTTTCTCTCCTGATGTGAGAATGCCAGTAGAGCACTCTGGCTGTCCACATGTCATCACTTGTCATGTGACCAGCCCTTTTCTTCTCATATGTTTCATTGATGGCATCTTTTATTTCTGTTCTTCATCAGAGCTCCTCATTGGTTATATGCTGTGGTCAACTCATAACTATGAACCTTTCATTGCTGTTCATGTGATATTCATCTTTAATTCTTTTGAGACTGTTGTTTTACATGTCATGTTGTCACTTAGCAATACTGATAGAATGTTTCTATTAAAAAGCTGGGCCATAGAAGCTTGGGGCCAGTTATGGAGCCTGGCAGTTTCCAAAGGCAATCCACTCTCTATTCCTTACTTTTCAAGTCTTGGCCCAACTTATTATCTGTACTGCATGTCCCAGATCGATCTATCTATCTATCTATCTATCTATCTATCTATCCATCCGTCTATCTACCCATCTATATATCTGTGTTTATACACACATACACACACTTATGTCTCACAAGAAAGCTATATAAGTTGTCCATGTAAATGAAAGTTCCTGGCAATTGACATTTTTCATCCATTTTATCCTTTTCTGTGTGGATGGTTGAGCCAAACTCTATTGAGTGATCACACTCAATCTTTCAAGAGGCTCCATGATATTCTGGGGCTTGATATAATCAGTAAATTGTCATTGACAGACAAGTAACCTTACCATGCAAAATGAATTCCATTTCAACTTGGATCTCTTCCTTCACAGTGGGAAACATCTTTGACCAGCACCTATTTCCGTGTTTTATGCTTTGTTGACTTTTGATTGGAGGGTTATTGAGCACAGATATTTCTATTTTTCTATCCTTCAAGGAATCTTGAATCATTTTGAAGTATGGATGGAAGATACTCTGTAGTGAAATAGCCTGTTGGTCAATTGTTCTATCAAATCAAATGCTTTCCCTTCCACAATTAACAAGTAATAAATATAGTGGAATCTCTGTTCTCTATGTCTTAGTTGGTTATGCAATGGTAAATATGTGGTTCATTATTGAGTATCATTTATGAAAGCCTACTTATTCCCTATGAGTACCTTTTAGATAATTTTCAGAAAGTCATCTATATATTGATGAGTGAATAAGCATGTAAGTTACTAATTATTAACATTCTTTTAGTTGCCTTTGGGGGGATAGTAATTAGGTCCTAGGATTTTTCCATATCTTTGGTACCTTCTCCTTTTTCACATACCTTGTACATTGGTCATTCAGTACCTTTATAATTGTGTTTCTTCTGGCAAAAATCACTTCTGTGTGTCATTGGTCTAGTCGGGTTGCTTTCCCTATCTTCTTGTAAGTTCCATTTCTTCATCCTTTATATAAAAACATTTGGGACTGTGATGTTAGATCCAATTATGGTAGTACCACTGTTATTGGAGAAAATTGTTATAATTTTTTAAAAAATCAGTATTTTCCATTTTCTTGATGTAGTGGCCTTGTTCCATTTTTATCCTTAAACTTTATGTAGTTTGTAGGTATTTTGAATGAAGTTTCCTTTTTTATTTCCTCCTGCTGGGTTTTGTTAGTAGTATAGAGAAAACTTGATGATTTTTGTGTTTCTTTTATATCTTGCTATTTTATTGAAGTTACTGCTTGTTTTGTTTATTTTTTCATTGAGTGATTTTTCTTGTCATATTGCTTATTTAATTAAAAAAACCAAACTTTTCTTGTCTTCTCTAACAGATCATCCCGATAGTTATCCTTTTCCTTTTTTGTCATTTTCTCTTTATCTATCGATTCCATTCTTGCTGCCTGCAGATATACTTTATGGAATTTTACCTTAAAATTCTGTTAATAAGCAGTGTATTTCTTCATTGTATTAGAAATTTTTTCTTAATTATGTTTTAAGCCTTTCTGCTAGAGATGATGGGCGACGGTATTAATTTACTATTTGTTTTGAACTTATTTTGCCTATGCAGTTGCCAGCCTTGTCACTTGGGTCCTTCAATGCTGAATCCATGGTGAGACTGGAGGACTTGTAAGAAGCCATACTGTGCTCTCAGTGGAGAGCCTGGGGTAGGGTAGCCAGCAATCCTGATTGAGAATAGCTTCTTGGGGGGGCAGCTAGGTGGCGCAGTCCATGGAGCACCGGCCCTGAAGTCAGGAGGACCTGAGTTCAAATCCAGCCTCAGACCAAACATTTCACACTTACTCGCTGTGTGACCCTGGGCAAGTCACTTAACCCCAATTGCCTTAAAAAAAAAAGAGAGAATAGCTTCTTGGCTCTGTTCCCTTTCATATTATTGGTCTGGGATGTTGAGGAGGAAATGATGTCTTGGAGAGGGCCACTGAGCCTGATCTAAGTCTTGTCACTCCTACAGTGGTAGGTGCTGTAGCTGAGCAGGGATGCTGGTGGTCTTCAGCTTATATCCCCTTTTCTCTTGAACTGACATTCTCCTAATTGCAGGTTCTGCCCTCTAACAGCCTTGAATGAGGTGCTTGGTCTCACCGGCTCCCACCGGAGGAGGCTCTGACTCCTGAAATTCCTGGCTGGAGCTCTGCTCTCTGGATGCAGTGGCCGCGTTTAGACTGTGATCACTGTGGCATTCACTAAATAGGAAAGGACTAGGTACTGAATGTACTTCTGTCTCTTTGTGGCAGAGCCCCATTCTTTACAAGAATACTTACTGACTTTTGTTTCAGGGAGGAGCTTGAGGTTGAACAAATTTCAAGGATTACTCATCCCACTCTTAGTACTTGTTGTCAATTTACAATGGCTGTATATACGCTGATGAACCAGCTTGTCCAACTACATATCAGAGATCACATAACAGATATTCTTTAGCCACTTGGTTTTTAATGTATCGGCAGTTAGGCCAAATTCTTCTGAATGTTTTTGTATTTCCTTTAGGCAACACAATGTCATCAACAAACCAATGAAACAAACTAAGCAAAATACTTTTGAAGATTTATTTTAAAAAATGTATTCTTGATGCCCTTTGTTCTTGCATGAAGGGGCAGAAAAAAAGAACAAAAAAACTCCAATCCCTCTCCACTCTCCAACTCTGCATGATGCTGTGTCTTGTAACAAAGAAAGACATGAAAGCAAAAACTTAGACATAGTAACGCATTTGACAATATACATATAGCATTGTATCCTTCTGTAAATAGTACTCATATGTTTATCTAGTCTTTGTATATAAAATAGTAATCAATTGTCTTGAAAGTAATCATTATCTAAAGAGAGTTGATTTACTTGTTTAGTCATTGTTTGAGTAAAACAAATAAGGATAAAGTTGTATATGAAGAATTATGTCTGTACAAGGGTCAACATTTGGCCAAATTTTGTTAATAGGGTGAGGTGGTGATTTTCAAATTGTGTATGGCTGAGATCTGTCATTAAAATGTAAATATGTGGGGATCTTCTGGCGGAATCATTTTTGCAATAAATACCAAAAATTATCTTTATGAAATTTCCAGGTGTGAAAGCAAAATGGCGGGAAACAGCCTCGTCCTACCAATTGTTCTTTGGGGCCGTAAAGCACCAACGCACTGCATCTCAGCTGTGCTTTTAATGGATGATGGGGCTACCATTGTAACAGGATGTCATGATGGACAAATATGCCTCTGGGATCTTTCCTTAGAACTGGAAGTAAGTATGCAAAATATCACTTGTGTCTTTTGGACATAGCTATCTCCTTTTCAGGTGACATTTTTTCCTTATTGTTTTTTATAAGCTACTATTACTACTAATTAAAAAAATATTGTAAATCCTTATTTCTTTATCCTCCTTGTGAAGGTGCTTTGAAATAAAAGATAACCTTTAATAGCAAAAGAAATGAGGAAACAAATTCCTTCACTGATAAATGACTAGCAACAAATAAAAGGACATTTATTTGAGTCCACATGAAATCACTGGAAAGATAGGAAAATATGGCTTTATTTTAAAAATTTCTTTATTGTGAACTTAAATATCAACAAACATAAATTTGATTATATGACGTGTCTCTAATAAAGTGATGGGACTCTTTTTGTGGCTTGTGAAAGTGATCATGGAAGGGGTATGCTACATATCACTTTAGCTGAAGCTTTATTTTTAAGGTTGATGAGTCTCGTGCTAGCAGCTATGAGGAATTGCAGAAATGTATTTGTTATATAAACATAGAAATGAGTAACTTATTTAGGAATTAAAAAGTAAAAAAAAGTACAGTTTTTGTGAAGTCATACCAATTTGCAGATGATACAGTTTGCATACAGATGTAGTAAAGACTTGAGTAAGAATTTTTGACAAATTAGGAAACAAACATTTTAAAGAATTAAAAAAGATGAACATCGTGATTTATGAAGCATCCATAGGACTGATGAAAATGTTGGTAATGAAGCAGTGTGGTTAAGTGGAAAGAGTGCTGGATTTAGAATACAGGATCTGGATTTACATTCTGACTTTGCCACTGTTACCTGTTTCATGTGATTTAGGGCTGAGAAGGACCCCTCTTTGGACCCTTTTTTCTTCATTTGTAAAATGAGGATGTTGAACTTGATTTTTCTAAGGTTTTTTTTCAGTTCTAAGTCCTACAGTTTTAAAGATATGGTTTATCCAAATAGAAAACTTCAAGAATGATGGCTTGAGTTAAATTTAAATTGACAAATGGTCACTAGTATTTCCCAGCCATTTCTAACATGGTATTTCCTGTATGGCCTTAAAACCAGTTTGCCAAGTCTACAGTGGAAAATTGCAGCATCTGTGAGATAGAAAATCCACATACCAAAATCACAGGTGAAGTCAGTGTTGATTTCTTTTTCACAGCAGCTTGGCATAGATCACATAGAATTCACAAGGTCAAGCTGTCATTATGGTGAAGCACTTGAGAGAATCTGTATGATGAAAAATGCACAGTGGTAATGCTCTAGTCACAGTATGCATTCTGTGAAATAGCATTTGAACAAAAATCGTTTTTTTAGCTTGATCACTTACCTTATTCATCAGACTTGACTCCAAATGATTCTTGACTATTTTCAAAAATCAAATCCCCTTCAAGCAGAAAATTTGTGCCATAGAGGTATTCAGAAGAATGTGATGAAAGCTCTGAAAGCAGTTCCAAAAGAGAATTTTGAAAGAATTTTTGAGCAGTGGCACTATCAATAGTATTGATGTACTTTCTCCTAACAAAATGATTTGAAGGGAGAAAGTCTCATTTGGATAGATAAATTCTGCTACATTAAAAAAACTGCAATTCTTTCCCCAACATAAACATGTACATATAAAATATATGATATGTATAAATATATACATATATGTGTATATATAAATATATACATATACGTGTGTGTGTGTGTGTATATATATATATGTATGTATGTATGTATGATTGTTTCATCATCATACTTCATGCCATTATTAAGTGAGTAGAAAACTATCTTAAAGGTCACACCTGAAGTTTTAGTCATCAGGGTTTTACTGACAGTGTAGGATGAAAATAGATGATAATATATTCAATTGTGTGATATATGAGATGATAAACTAGAAATCAATGTTATACATATCAAAATTTCTGATGATAATAAAGAAACAAAGTTGAGGTTACCTATTAGGAAGACATGAATAAAATTTCAAGAGATCTTGAGATTGGAAAAAATGATCCCACAGATCAAAAATGTCTTCTTTTAAAATATTAAGAAACAAAATGCCAATATCAAATGTAGAAAGATTGTTCCAAGGTAAGGAAGCATAGTTAGACGATCCTGTGAGGTCAAGAGCTCCCTCTGAATCAGCAATGCAGTGTTGTTGAAGAGAGAGATTAATGATTTACTGAAATGGCAAGAAAGGCATATGAGTTTTAAGACCTGTGTCAGCCTTTTTGCTTATATGGCCCATTAGTCAGATTTTGTAATTAGAACATTGTATTTAGTTTTGGATGAAAAAGGAGAGTCCAGGGAAAACCAAAATGTTTTAAAGGTATGGACAACCAGTTTTCTGAGAAACTGGTAACACAAATGAAGTTGTTTACTCTAGGGAAGATTAAGCATGCTTTTTTTTGTTGTATTTAGCATATGAAAATTAGGTAATAGGTAAAAATAGGTCTTTCCGTGAAAGACCAACAAGACATTTCTTCCCTGCCACCCCCTTCCCAAGATTATGACCAACATTCTTTTTTTAAAATTAAGTTATTTTGAGTTATCAACAATCATTTCCATAAGCTTTTGAGTTTCAAATTTTTCTTCCCCTCCCTCCCCACCTCCCTTCTCAAGACAGAGCACAATCTGATATAGGCTATACATATACATTCCTATTAAACCTATTTTCACATTAGTGATGTTATAAGGAAGAGTTAGAACCAATAGGAGGAATCATCAGAGAGGAAACAAAACAATACAGAAGAAAAAAAATAGCAAATAGTATGCTTTGATCTGCATTCAAACTCCATAGTTCTTTGGATGTGAATAGCATTTTCCATCATGAGACTTTTAGAGATGTCTTAGATCCTTGCATTGCTGAGAAAGGCTAAGTCTGTCAATGTTAGTCATCACACAACATGGCTGTTATTGTGTGCAGCGTTCTTCTCACTTAACTCAGCATCATTCCATACAAGGCTTTCCAGGTCTTTCTGAAGTCTGCCTGCATATCATTTCTTATAGCACAATAGCATTCTATTACATTCATATACCACAGCTTGTTCAGCCATTCCTCAATTGATGGGCTTCCCCTCAATTTCCAATTCTTTGCCACCACAAAAAGAGCAGCTACAAATATTTTTGTACATGTGGGTATGACCAGCATTCTTGATATTGTTATTGTCATATATTTTCATCTATTACTGGTTTGCAAGAATTCAAAGATAGACCTATGACATTTGAACTCCTGTATATTGCACTTCTTTGGCCTATGGTCTGTAGGGAGGAGGGACAAAAACTTGGTCTAAGTTCATGGCAGGAATGAAAATGACTTAAAATGACATTTTGGAAGTAGCAGCAGAACTCACAGTTTTGTCAGCACTGAGGGTGGTACTGTTAACACTTTAGAAAGTAAGTATTGTGTGCTCACTGTTAACCATCACCTCTGTTACCACTCTTCCATTTTTCTCATTTTCTTTTTATTCTTGGTCACATTGGTGGCCAGATAGATGGAATTTCTTAATTGTGGTCTTTGATATTCAAAGATAATGCTGATGGGAGTCATTATGTATAAATGAAGAGTTCAAGTTGTGATAATTTTTGTGTATATTTCATGTATGCCATTTAATGACCATTGACGCTATTTGTATTTGTTTTTCCTCTGAGCTTTTTAGTTTCCTCCCAACTTTAAGCCCTGAACAAACCATTGCCATGAAAGGAGACAGAGGAGCTGATTTCCACCAGCTTCATGGAAGATGTTAAAACTTTTAATTTTCAATTGTTTATGTTGACTCTGTGATCAGTACATTTTTAGCGATTTTCAATTTACTACAGTTATCCTTCCAGTTTTTGCTATTTAGCAGTTACGTAATTTTCTGGATCCTCTTTATTGCTTGTCTGACTAAAGAAGTACAGTGTAGTTTCCATTTATGTATTTTAGAAGTTTCACATGGAAACTATGAAATACATCAAAATATTAACTTTTTTTAAAGCTTTTCTTATATGAATCAACTGATTTATTGTTTCCATGGTAATAGGTCAAGATTTGGTTTGCTAAATTTATTAATGTATACTCATGGTTTCCAGTTACTGTCAGTTGATCACTGTAAAGACTAATTTCTACATTCTTGTGATTGGAAATCATATGATTTGAGAGTTGAAAAGGACATGAAGAGCTAGTCCTGCCTTTACCCAATATATGAGTCTTTATTTATATTGTTCTCAGCAGGTGGTTACTACTTTCATTGAAAAGAAGTTTATGCAGTGAGTGGTGCAATGGATAGAGCCTTGGGCCTGAAATCAGGAAAACCTGGGTTCAAATCCAGCCTTAGCATGACCCTGGGCAAGTCACTTAACTTCTGTTCTAAGTTTCCTTAACTGTAAAATGGGGATAATAATATTACCTATTTCAGGATTGTTGTGAGGATCAAATGAGGTAATATTTGTAAAGTGCGTAGCACAATGTCTGGCATATAGTAGATGCTTAATAAATGCTTATTTCCTTCCCTTATTGTTTTTGATTACTTCTGATTAGACATTGTTACTTCTGATTAGACAGCTCTTTTTTATATCGAATTGAAATTTGTCTCACTATAATTTGTATACATTGTTCCTAGATCTGAATAAGACATAAAGGGTAGAACTGTGGACCTGGAGTTTGACTTCTGCCTTAGACATTTACTTGCTATATGACCTTGGACAGGTCACTTATTAATTTCCTCATCTATATAATGAGGATAATAATAGCACCTGTCTCACAAGGTTGTTGTTAGGCTCAAATGATGCCAAGTATGTAAAGTCAGTCAATAAACATTTATTATTCACTTACTATGTGCCAGACACAGTGGTAAATGATGGAGATAAAAAGAAAGGCAAAAAACCCCTTCCCTGCCTGGAAGAGCTTGCATTCTAATAGGGAGACAACTTGCAAACAACTGTTTACGTACAAGGTTCAGGTCCCATCATCATCAGATAATGGAAGGTAATCTTAGAGGGAAGGTGTGGGCCTGGGAAAGGCCTGCCAAACTGATTCTTGAAGGA